TAGCAAATTTTTCATCTAACAAACAAGCTGAGGCTCTTGAATCTAGCAAGGTAGAGGCTTTGAGATGTTTAGGTCCTAAAATAATATTTATCGTAAAATATGGAGAGGGTTTTGAGGAGAGGATAGGACCTTCACTAGACGTTGTATAAGGTTCCAGCCGCACAGTCCCTATTGTAATTGGACAAATTCATTTTCTGACATGCTATGTTCTTTGATCGTCGTACTCCTCATTTTATGGTTGCATCGCTTCTTTGAGCAATGTTGAGTAGTGTGCTTAGGTTCTCTACAATATAAGCACAATCCTTCTTGACGACGATGGATCTTTTCTTGCTTAGTAAGAGGTTTGAAATATACTGCATCAATTTCCATATCTTCTACTTTCAAATGTATGTGTTGAAGAGATGTTGATATTGCTATTGAATTATAGTTACGTTGAAGTCCACTTCTATGGTTCTCAGATCAGAATTCAAAAAGGTGATTTTCGCACTTCACATCAAAGTCAATTACTTAGCTCAATGTTTGAGGATCAAGTAAGTTGAGCATTAATTTTTTACCTCATATTGTAATCCGTAGAGAAATTGGCTTATAAGTGCAGTATCATCCCACTTGATATCAATTGCAATTTGTGGAAATTGTGAAGCATATAACATTACTGATCGATTGTCTTGTCGTAATATATGGATCTTATTGGTTGCAAGATGAATTGCATCATGTTCTCTATACATGAATCAAAACTCTGCTAGAAAAGCGTCTAGATTATCCAATATTGGATCTCGTCGTTCAAGAAAAGATGAAAACTACGATAGTGCTGAAGCTGAAAGAAGCGTATCAATGAATCTAACTTGCAATCTTGGAGTTGGATAGCTTTAGAATTGAAGTTCAATCACAAGTTATACTTGATTGATAAATCCTCGAAACTTGGATCTGGTGCCATTAAACTTTTTGGGTAGGGCAATTCTTGGTTCTCTAATACCGAAAGGGCGTTCCACTAGAAGAGAAGGGACATGATTTGGTACAGATGTTGAAGCAGCTCCAATCATTTCTATATCTTCACTTCCTGCCAATCTTGTTGCTCATTGTGGTGGTAAATTGAATTGATGTATCGCAAGTATTAACTCCCTCAATTGGTCTTACATTTATGCCATTGCACTCTTCATTTCAGCAAGTTCTGCCATGATAACACTTAGAAAAGAGAAGATGTCTAATATTGCTCAAGACAAATAGAAGAGAGGACTTGAGAACAAAAAAAATACTAAGGACAATATCAGTTTAGAAGAGGATAATCCGCAACTCCTAATATGCTTGTGTCTTATCAAGAAAAAGGAGTAATCCACTCTTAATCAAGATTAGACAAAGCTCTGATATTGTAGGTGCATTCTTGTCAATCTGTCAAGGACAAGAACATTATAAAGACAAATAAACAAGTGAGACTTCTTTCAAAAAAAGATGACAAAATAGAAATAACTTAATATATATATTAAAAAAATAAAATAAAATGGCTACTATCAAAATATAAGAAAACTCAAGACCCTTGAAACTAGATTGGAAGCAAAAATAGAATTGACAAGAGTTAAGAAGGCTTCACTCTTGTCTCTATATACTATCTAACTAGGGACTACGTGGCAACATTCTATAGGACCTTCAATATAATTTGACTTTGTAGGACACATGCCTTGACTTACAAGGCAAGTTTTTTCTACGTGTGGGCCATATAGTTAGCTTGGTCTTCAAGCTAACAATATGTATGGCACATGGCCAACTTGTTGACCACGTTTTTAATCCAAAAAGTCAATTAAAGACACCTATAAAGTCAAAGTAGTGTCTATAAAGCTTCTATGAAGCTTCCATAGCAAATACTATAGAATTAACTTATTTTTACCTACTTTTACTTATTTCTATCTATTTATACATATAATTATTGGCTTACATGTTTATGTCTGTGACATTCAAATACACTATATTATAAAAATTATTAATACTCCTATTTAAAAAAATAACCAAGTCAATAAAAATAATATGGATAAAACTCATACGTTATAAAAATAAGTTAATTCTAATAAATTTTGAAAAAAAAAAAAAAAATTCCTTAATCTTAATCGTAATTTTTTTTGCCAAAGAAGTTTTTTTAAATGAATAATAAAATTGATAGTTGTGAAACTAGAAACTTAATTTAAAATAATACCACAATTCTTTTGACAAAGTAATCAACAATATTTTGCCAAATAATAATAATTGTAATGTAGACAAATGTGTATTTTTATATTCTTTTTTCTAGGATAGTAGGTTTTTCTCCCTTTTTCTTTATCTAGTAAAAACCAAAAGGAAGCTTTCCCTAGTTTCAAGCAATAACAAAAACAAAACTAACAAAATTACTCATACATTACTAATAGCAAAGTGAGATAAAAAAATTCACATTACAGAAAAATTGGTATCAACAGACACTCAACAAAATCAATCCAAAATTCAAGTATATGGACACCACAGCAACATGGTGAGGATGTCCATTATACAAAAACTCCAAAACCAGCACTCCTCAAGACAAAGAAGGCGATGGACAGACGCAATAAAGTGTGTTGAGAAGAATTCCAAACTCCACACGTCTTGCGCAGAAGCTAAAAAAAATAACTGAAAAAGATCACTTGGCAATAAAACTCAAAATCATTCTCACAACACTCAATGCGAAAACGGAATACAAAAATGTGATGCATGTGTTTACTGAGTTGGAAGGAAGGGCTTCACTTTACCGAGGAATGTTTCTCTTCAAGGTGGGCTTCAATACCCCGTTTCTAATCCTCTGATTGTGGTCGACGCCATTACCTTTTGCCTGTCAAATTTATATACTGTACAACAATTTTCTTCCCGAACTAGGCTGAGGATTCTGCTGCTGCGATGTTGCAAATATACAACAAACTCTCTGTCACGAAAAGAAGAGGTATCTGGCACCCCGCTATGAAGCTTCACAAACATGCAACATACAGGAGTGTGACTACACGAGCTGCTAAATGTTGTCAGAATAAATACTCTTTGGCTTTTCCGGATCAATCACACCCCTAGACGCTCAGCAAAATGGTTTAGGAGATTGGGTTGCGATAGTTGGCACTTCAAGTGTTCAGGACGGCGGGACGAATTCAAATTTCAGACTCGTGGTTGTGTCTATCTGCTGGAGCGCACCTCCTCCAGCTGCACTTCTCCATTGTGGGCACCCCGCCCAAATTCTTTACCCTCGTTTGCCGGATAAAATGTCCCTTGACAAAGCTTATCGCGAGCAAGGCCGATCAAGTAGAAGATGAAATGGCAGATCACAAACACAACAATCCCTAAGACGCATATGTATGCACTCCTGGGATTCCTCATTGTCAGAGTATCTGGGTAAGCGGGAGGATGGTTCGTATAAACCCAAACAATCTGCGACCCTATCCAGCCCAGCGGATAGATTATGGTCAAGAGCACATGGCGAGGTCTTATAGGCATTCGAGAGATGAACAACTCGATAATCAAAGCGCCGTTTCCGAGGGCATGGCCAGTGAGGCAGTTGAGGTCGCATGTGGGCGAGCTCTCAAAGCTCCAGTAAAGGATTGTGATCAACGTCTCCAACACAACCGTCAATTCGAACAAGAAGATCTGAATCGCAGTTAGCCAGCGCCAAAACCGAGAAAGGGGTCTGTTCAAAGCATGGAAGAAGACCGTGTGTATGGAATTGAACGAAGCTACAATGAAGTATATCGCGGTGGCGAGCAGACCCCAGTGCGTAAGGTAAACTGGGGGGATGACCCTCCCTTCCCAATAGTCAATCCAACCCCATATAATCCCGTAACCTGAGAAGTACCCAGCAAGTAGGAGACGCCAGATGAGGAGCAAAATGGTACCCCAACCTTTGTTCGCAGGCGCAAAAGACGACTCGACTGTTCGAAGTTTCAGCACTTGAAGAGATTGATCAATTTCCTTCCGAAAGAAAAATCTGAAAACCGGCCCACCGAGCTTGGAATATGGATCATTATAGCCCAGCGGCTGTTGTACTCGCGGCAATGTTGACGTTCCATTGCCCGGAGGACGATTTAACTCGCTCTTCATCCTGAAAACTCTACTGTCGTCCTCACAGCCTCTTCCAAGGTGAACTTCTGAAAACAGTTCTACAAGAAAATGAGATTACGATAAGGAATTCGATACGTTCACTCAAGTTTCTACAACATGAGAGCTATATCCAGTCTGTAACAACAAAACTGCCGAAACTCAGAGCCGGTGCCGCAACATCGTTGACTGCCGCTGAAACAGCGAAAGCAAAAGAGAAAGGAGCCCTGTGGTTTTCCAAGCTACTAATGTAATACATATCATAATTTAGATTCGCTCCTGTGCTAATCTGCATGTTGTATTCCACTAATAAGAGGGATGAAATGAAGAGGGGACAGCTTGAATCAAGGCAAAAAGCGAGCTCATCATGGCTGCACGGCAGCCAGCTCAACTTCTGGGACAACAGAGAAGGGCAGCAGCGGCAGCCGAGTCTCCTTCCTGAACGTCAACAACCACCGTCGCAGATTCAGCCGCTCTGCCGATGCGACAGATGTCGTAACAGCGTTGCACCACATCATATCCAAGGAGCAAGAATTTACACACCAAAAGGCCCTAAACTCCAGCAGAGACAATCAAACGAATGAACAGGTTAAATCACAGGCTATGTTCACCTACTACAGAAAATCTAACATGGATCCGTCCTAGTAGTGTTCGGAAGCGTGCCGGTGGTTTTGTTTTTATTCTGTGAAAAAGGTCTAAAAGATTTGCGCATGCCCTGACATGCAAGCCTCCAGTTGTAATGTATAGAACTGGATTCGAGAACTCTACCTCTATGTCTAAATTTAGTGTGTAACTTGCTGCCCAATTTAGGGCTGCAGCCCTCAAGACATGGTAGGTAGACAGGTGGTGCAAATTCTCATCGTTGTTCATTTCATGCTAAAAGTTTAGCAAGCATTAAAGAGGAAATGAGGGGGATAATGTGTACATGATGGATGGCTAAAGACAAGGCGGCCCCCCTCATCCATTCAACTAAACCGAATCCATGTCCTCCCCACCTTGTGGACTCTACATTCGGCACTGGACTCTGCTACCTGACACCGATGTAATTGTATTTCTCCATCGATCTCGCCAAAAAATCCTTTCAATCTTGAATTTGAGGGGTTTGCAAGGTTTTGTTTCATCTACCTTTTGTGGCAGTTTGTTCGGTGAGCCAGGCGCATGGGCCCTCATTCTCAACAAGGGTACCATTGGCAGTGCGGATCCTCGGAAGGTTGATTTCGTTCTAAATTTCGTTTCAGAATAGGAATCCGAGGGAATTTTAGAATGAAGGGAACCAGTGTTTGGGTTTAGTAGGATTTGTCATTCAGGAAGTAGGGGATTCATTGAAGTGGCTGTTAGAGTAGAGCATACCTGAACGTGCACGTAGCAGTGATCGGAATGTCTTGCGCAAGTTGCGAGAATGCAGGTTGATCTTTTAGCTATAAACCTAGCTAATTAAGTACCTGAATTGTTTGAATGCATGAAAGAGACTGTTCGAATATAAGTGACAGGTATCTGGTTTATTATGAAGGTTCACGCCTCATGCTCAAGCATCATCTGCAGTGAAGGAAGGAGTGCTTAGGACATGGAGTCTAAATCCAGGCCTATCACAAGGCAAAGACAGCCATTGTTTCTTGCTTGAGGGGTGTTTGGACTTGTTTGCTGCGTCTGAGCTTGTCGTAATTGCAAGGGTCGCTGCTGTTTTTTTTGGTCAAAAGCAGCTTCCTCGACTTGGAAAGAAGTTGGGCTAGACTGTGGCGAGCTTTCAGCAGGTAGGCACCAGATTGCACTTGTGATCTGCGTTCTCAGTCTCTACAGCAGATTGGTTGGATTTTATGATCGAATGCGTTGCAGATTGTGAATGTGTACCTTAATCGCAACGAACTTTTGGCATGTGCATTTCCCGAGGAAGGGTGGATATCATTTGTTTGCATCTCTTTAGTCTTTAGTATGTAAACTGATTTTATCTCAACGTAATGAGTGAGCTCAACAGATGAATTACGAACCCTGCCCTACTCAAACTACTGCTTTTCGGTGCCCTGGCCACTCGCTGTTTTGCAATCACAGAATTACTATGCTCAAGTTGCATTGAATGTTGTGATCAGGAGTTTTCCATTCATAGCTTTGTATGATTGTGGTTGAAGATCCTGCCACCTGCTGTCCTGTACCATTTGGCAGAAACACTTATTTCTCTGTAGCATCGCAGAACATTATTTGGAGGGATGCAAAAGCGTGTACACACCCACAAATTATGGATGCAACTTGAATCACGCTCAGGGAGTAGTAACTTAACACTTCGAAGGAGGAATATGAAGTCTTCTTCGATTGTCTTGTTAAACACAGGACCTTCATCGGAATATGCTAACCTGCCTACCAAGTTCTTGGAAACACGAGACACAATAGAAGTTCAAGAAAACGCATACTCACACACTGTATTGCTTATTGGAACGGTACAATATATACTATCTTATAGCCGTAGTTGGATGTGCGTAATCTGCTCTTAGATTTAGGTTTTCCTAATGCTATAGAAATAGTAGCTACAATATAATGTTCCAACAAACCTCCTTACTGCAATATTGTTTTTGGGATTTCTTATGTTGGTGATGTCAAGAATATGCCTTAATCAGCCTGCTTTGGAATGAAAGGTTTAATTGTTGTACCTCCTCCAAAGTCTTCAATATCTGCAGACTTGTCTAGGGTTTTTGTTGTTTTCTACTTTTGTGTTTTGTATCATCGCATGCAGCTTCAATATAGCGAGATTTATTGGGTATCTCTTTTATTTTCCTTCTAGTTGTTTGTTTGAGTGAAGTGGGTTTGTATTGTTTGGATGTTGTCATAGTTTTGTATTGTCTTTTGATATGTTTGCTCTTCCTTGGCATTGGAGCTTCTACATTGATGTTTCTTCAAGTCTTGTTGTTGAGGTGTGCTTAGAGTTTATTGAGCGCCCTATCTTCTTTTATGATTGGAATGTTTTCCTTGCTCTATGTTCTAAAACATATAATTTTGCTTTTGAACATTGATGTGACTTGAGAAGAAGTAAGTATGAGGCTATTTTGGAATCAAGTGATGTTTCAAGTACTTCCAAAATCTTAGATTGTTGTGAGCTTGACTCCTTTGTTGTATCTCCTTTGATATTAGTTTACTTAGTTTTTACTCCTATTATTTCATCTACCACTATTTTAGCAACTCTATAAGATACTTCTTTTTTCTTGGCAATTAAGGCAATTTAATTTGATGATGTTTATATTTCTTATGTAGAAGCTCAACTACATTATTATAATCATGTAAGTTGAGTCGATGTTGAAACTTTTTAAATAAATCTCTATCAAGAGGCTTTATAAATAAGTCTAAGAGCTATTCTAATGATGGCATGTCGTTGAGTTGGATGTCTTTTTTGTCAATTTTTTTTCTAATATAATAAAGGTGTGTTGATATGTATTTTGTATATGCTTTCATTTATAGGTTTATTATTATTTTTATAGAAGCTTCATTATTATAGTGAATTTCTATTTGTTTTGTTATTCATGCTTAAGTCATGACTAAGCATCTCCAACTAAAATAATTTAGAAGCTGTTGATTACATGCCTATGTATTTAGCTTTGAAGGAGGATAGCGCCATTAATGATTGTTTCTTTGAGAACCAAGTAATTAGACTTTTTTTAAGACAAAGAATAAATCTTGTTGTAGATCTTGCTTCTTCCAAATTTCTTATACAATTACTATCTATAAACCTTGAAATGTTTTATGATGAGTTTTTTTTATATTAGATACTATGCTTCCAAGTTTTCTTGATAAATCTTAGTATTTGTTTTACAATATGCATGTATAGTACTTAAAGCTATTACATTAAGCAACTAAGCTATTTAACAATAAAATTGATATCAAAGCAAATATAACAAAGATGAAGCAGTTTTTTGACTAAAGATCAATATTGTTAAAGATCAACATAGGGCTTGTTTTATGTTGTTAATCAATTTTGATTTTTCTACCATTGGTATCAAGACTAGAATACAGTCTTGAAGTTCAAATAGCAATATTGTTTATTAGGCATAGCCATACTGAGTAAGAAAAATTCTATGGAATACTTGAATGGATTTGGCCTTGAGGTATAAAATCAAATACCATTTGTTTAATTTTGAAATTTAAAATTTTAATTCAAGTTACTATTTTAATCATTCTATTATCAAAGATACATATCTCATAAAAAAATCCTCAATACACTCTTATGTCACCTGAAAAGATTAAAAAATCACTAAAAAAATAGTAATATATTGAACTAGAATGGCTATTACCAAAGACAAAAAGATTAAGTCTTGCAACAAGAGTGAGGATTAAAAAGGTATTGACAAGAGTGAAGAAGGCTTTATTCTTGCTCCCATATATACTTTCTAATTAGGAGCTACGTTGCAATATTCTACATGACCTCTAATAAGTATTGACTTTCTTAGACACATAACTTGACTTGCAAGACAAATTAGCTATATGAAAACATATAGTTAGCTTGTTCCACAAGCTACTAACATGAGTGTCATGTGGCTAACTTTTTGATTAAGTTTTTAGCCTACTAATTAATTAAAAATACATGTAAAGTCATAGCAACGTCTATAAAGCTTCTAGAAAGCTTTTTTAGGAATTATTATGAAATCAATCTACTTTTATTTACTTATATTTAATCATATAGGTGATTATTAGAATAAATATATATATATATATATATATATATATATTCGTGACATTATCCCTCTTTTTAGGAATGAATTCTACAAAGAGTGGTCATCATACATTGAAGAAATCTAAGTGTAGCAAATTGTATTTGCCACATATCATGATCTTTGTTTTCTTCAAAAATGGTTGATAGGTCTTCTCAGCCATCAATAGTATCTCATACTAAGATGAGAAGACCACCTTTTTATTTGATCATTGTTGAAGCCTTTATAATTCCTTTCAAATAAAATATTTGGAACACTATTAAGAGTCAATCTTACTTCTAATAAAATCACTAAACATTGAGAAAGTCTTTCAAGGTCATGATACCAAATACGTTGTATCTTGCCATTTATTCAAAGAAGAATATATCATTTTTGAGGGTCTTTATTTCAATTACATCATCTTAAAGATTATAACAATTGTAATATTTCATCCAATAACTTAGTGAATAATATGTCTTCAATTGAATTTGCTGATTGTTAGTTCTCTATCTTTTTAGTGCTATAAATATAGAGAAGCTACAAATAAAGGTAGAAGATAGAATGCTATCTTTTTATATTTTTTTCTTTTATAATAAAGATTTGTTATTTTTTATCTTAATTTTGATAGATGTTATTAATAAAAAATTTCAATCTTTTTTATTATATTTGTAAGATTTTTCGCTAGCTTCTATATATATTTACTAATATCATATCCATGCTAATGAAAAAGATATTTCAATAAATTTTGGTATCATTTCGAATCTAAAACTTCTTCCACCTCGAATTATTAATCATTGTCTATTTTTATAAGAAGTAATATTTGTCTTCTTCTTGAGATATTTACTATCTTATATGTTTCAAATATGGAATATGGAATGGATCTTTATAGACTCCAATAGATATAATTGATAAGTAACAAGATTGACTTGTTCACAAATAAGAAAAGGTCCAATCTTATAATAGTCCAACTTATTACAAAGACAAGACATCTTAAAAATACGATAAAATAATTATATCTTATCATCAACTTTAAGTTCTACTTTTGTCTTGTAATAAACATCTATATTGATCTTTTGTCATTCTTGAATTTTTTTTAACTCCACCTTTTTTATTGCATGTGGCTCTAGCAAATGATTTATTAAATCTTTTGTCGTAGGATTATCAATATTTGAAAAGTTAAAAGTATCTAATCATAGATAATAACCATAATTGACAAAAAAAAGTATTTATAGAATAGAAAAATGTACCAAATTATTGTATAGAAACTTTATTATTGGCAAAAAAATTATCCAATCATCTAGATGATAGATAATAGTATACTTCAAATATTGCTCCAAAACTTGATTCACTTGTTTTGTTTGTCCATCAATTTCAAGATGAAAAGCAGGAAAGAGCTTTATATCTATTTTTAAAATCTTGATACAAATTAAGTCACTCTATTTGATATAATATCTTTAAACAATCCATGATAGTAATAGTTTTTGTCAAGAAAAAACTTAGCTATTTCTTTACTTGTCATAGATTTTGTACATTTAAGATGTTTGTGATGCTAGTTGTTATAATTTGATATAATTTCTTGGTACAAAAAACTATACATTTTTATTTTGTAAATAAGACCATGAGGTGACAATCTATGAGGCAACCAATAGACAACAAGATTTTGTGAGGACTATGTATGTATTTTATATCAAATATATATTGAATTTTACTTACAGAAGTATGAACATTATCAATCCTATGGCTTGCACTTGCATAAGATTGGCCTCCTACAAAAGTTATGCTATTAATATTTTGAACTAAAAATAGGTCATTAAAGACTTTAGCATCTCCTATAAAGTATATAGATGTGTTTGAATCAAAAAACTAATTTTTATCCTCAAAATCTTTTTAAAATTCTAGTATTACTAAAGCTTGATCAATGTCTTTATAACTTAGCATGAAGGTAATTTGAGGTAGTTAAAGAATCTTATTGAATAGTATCAAGATGTAAATATTATCTTCAAACATATTTTCTTTGTAGCATCTCCACATTGATGTTAGTGTACCTTATAGTAATTACATTGGTGTTAGTATCATATAGAATCTTACAGTATGTCTCATTTTACGACATTTATAACATATCATTGGTTTTTATAGAAGATTGCCTAATATACCTATCTAATTTGGTTGTAATAATACTCTAATGTATTGGTTGTTATAACCTCTTGTTGAATATGTTACAATTGTTGGATGTAAGAAAAAGTATGTTCTTAATCCACTAAATTTTTTTCTAAATTTGTTTCAATTAATTATAGATCAAAAATACATCACTAAGGCTTCATTGTTTTTTAATGAAGTATGCAACTTTACATTTTTGTTCTTCTACCATTAGTCTTTTTGCTAATTCATCCAATGTAAAGATTATTTTTTTATTTTGAAGTATCTAAGAAAAACTAACAAATTGAAAAGGAATGCAATTCATAATTTTGTATACTATGAATATATCTTTCTATGGATGCCATATATCTTTTAGTTCTTTAATAATATTATAAATTAACAAAATAAAAGATGAAATAACTTAATTTTTATGCATTCTAATAGATTTTCATTTATTTAGTACAACCATTGTATTTGAGATGGTATTAGATTGAAATAATTTCTATAGATGAGTCCTCTATATCTTTGATGTGCGGTAGTATTTCATGAGTAACTAATAGGCAAAACTAAGCTATTGCTTTGGTGCTTCTTTTGCACTACAAATCTAGCTCAATTGTTGTAAAGATTGAATCAATTGTTTTTTTACTTTTTTGCTCTTCAAATGATGAAATTTCTTTTTGTATGTATAGTATATATATATATATATATATATATATATATATATATATACATAATCTCACAAATCATCTCTTTGAAGTATAATGCCTCTAAAAGATATATATATATATATATATATATATATATATATATATATATTATCTCACAAATCATCTCTTTGAAGTATAATGCCTCTAAAAGACCTCTATTCCTTATAGTTATGGCTATTTAAGAAGTTTTTATCTTCTATTATATTGCTTAGTATGCTTGTCATTTTAATCTAGTACTAGTTGAAGAAAATATTTCTAACTTATCTAACTTCATTGGCTTTGTGAATAGTATAGATAGATGTAGATCTAAAAATAAAAAAGAAATATTTTTTGCAAAAAATTTGAAAGATAAGGATGGAAAAGATGCAAGAAGAGTGAAGAGTTGAAGAGAATTTTAGGTTTATGTGAAGAAAATGTAAAGATGAGCTAAGAAAGAGATAGTAAATCAACTTAATATAAACTAGTAGTGCATTGTGAATATGATATGGAGGAGGTTATATAAGAATTTTATATTACTTTGGAAGTTGTAAGATCCTATTATTGAGAAATATTCTTTAAAATTTGATTATAAGAGCTTATAAAAAATATAAATAAAAATGATATTTCAAAGACTTCATGGAGCTTGATGAAGCATGTCTACCTTAATATTTATTCTTTTATTTATAGAATCTCTTTTTGACATATTAAGAATAAAAAATACTCTCATTTAATGAGTTTTATTATTATTATTATTATTATTATTATTATTATTATATATATATATATATATATATATATATATATATATATATGTATGTAGAAAAATTAAATGATCAATTCAAAGAACACATAGATGAGTTTCATAGTAGATAATTGGTTTATTTGGAATAAAGGTAAGTGTACAGAAGTTTTTAATTTTGTTGTGTAGTTTTGGAAGATAAAGCTAACTACTTTATTAATTATTTCTTGACATTTTTAGGTGCAAGTCTTATTATTTTTATAACCTTATTTAATCAAAAATTTGCATATATACTAATATTTTTTTTAAAGTTTTTTATTTTATTTTATTTTATTTTATATATTTATAATATATTTTTATATATATGAAGTTAAAACTTTCTTTAAGATCAATTTTTAATTATTAATAACATTAAACTTATAAGTTTTGTGAAAGCTACAAAAAAAAAATTAAATTAAATTGAATTAAATTTATTGTTGGATAAGACAATAATTTCTTATACATCTCTTCTTTATCATAAAAAATCTCAAAATAAAACTCATACAAACAAATGAAAAATGAGAGTTTGTATATTCTATAATTGCACAATAGATTATAAAAATTAAGATTTGGAGTAATTAGAGTTATATCTAATTATTCATTAAATTGATTTTAAAAAATTAATATTATAAGAAGAATAGAAAAAAATAAATATTATTTTATAGATTATATAGAAAGTAAAGAGTAGAAATTTTGATTTGCTTATTTGTAAGGATTTTGTGTAGATGTCATTAAATAGATATTTTTGCAATTTATATGCAAAGAAGTGTAGTAATTGCAAAGAATAACCTTGTTATCAATATAAATGAATTTACAAATAGATTTATAAGTTTTAAGATAAATCTAAGAAAATAAAAAGGATTATTAGAAACAAATCAAGAGGTAAAAAGAATAAAAAATATCACTCTATAAGGTATATTTTAGATAAGAATATTTTTTTTGATTATATCCATAATTATCTTGGTTTTTAGTAATAATAGTAAAAATTTCAAAAAAAAAAAAAAAAAAAAAAAAAAAAACACACAAGATATAAAAATTTAGATGTAACAATTGAAATAAAAATATTTAAGTAAAAAACTAGATATTTAATTTTAAAAATAAAAAATATAATAAAATAAAACATGATACACATTTTTTATTTTAAATAATATCTTAATTCTAATGTATTTAATGAATCTTCTTATCTGCAATAGAAAGATGCAAATACCTCTACCTTCACCATTAACATATACACATGCAAAGATTGTGCTTTTCAAGAAGATAAAATTAACAAAATCAAAGTTCATCTTTTATCTTTTTATATACGAAATAAGTTTAAACACAATTTTATATAACTTTCCAATTTTATATTAAGTTTTTAGTACTTTTTTAATGAATAATTTTTTTGTGTATATTCAACATAATTATATTATTTTAATAAGTAATGATCATAAAGCTTATAGTAAAAAGACTAGGGACATAAAATAGTTATTAAAAACTAAATTAGAATGACATGCTACAGAAATAAGGATAAATATTATTTGTAGCCTTTAAATATCAAAATTATCCTTATATTCTTGATAATAGCAAATTTACTCTTCACTTTTGTGATAATTGCAAATCTGCCCTCGCACTTGATAAGCTATGAATATTATATCCTGATTTAGGTGGAACTGAAGGCCCAAACCGCGTGCCGCGCATAGTTCGACCCGGCACTTTTCTGCCCAGTCCAGTTCGGGCATCGCATGGATGGGACACCTCCACTCAGACGCTGCAGTCGCTAACTGTGGCACAAGCTGGCTTACTCCGAGGCCAAATTCAGAGTGTATAGCTGGTTTGAGTGCGTTGGGTGTGCTGTTAGCGGCACCCTGCCGACATGGTTCGTAGGGTTGCAATGCCTGGACCTCTCAAACAATCTCTTGACAAACGCTATCCCAGCGTTGCTGATGTCGCTCCAAAAGCTACCATGGCTGGAACTTTTCAAGAATAAGATTGCCGGTCAAATTCCATTGGATGTATGGAATCTGACTTCGCTTACAAATCAGGATGGCTCGTACAGTCTCCTGACCGGCGCCATTCTTGATAGAATTGCTCGCCTTGAGAATTTGGTTGTACTTCACTTGCAAAACAGTAGCTTTGAAGGGCCAATGCCCTCAGCGATTGCAAACCTCACAAAGTTGTATGATGTGAAACTCAACAAGCTCAACGGTAACATTCCCTCTACTCTTGGGCGCAACTCCTCGCTTCTTCAATTCGACGTCACCAACAACCAGTTTCACGGTCAGATTCTTTCGACTTTGTGTGCTCAAGGAGAGTTGGAGAGGTTCGTCTTACAAGCCTCCCCATAACTTCAAAATGAGTGCAGTTCTAGGATTAACTCAAAATGTTGCACATCTGTATATTTGAATAAGTGCTAATTCTTCATTGTACAGGTTGATACTGTTCAACAGTACGTTTACAAGCAATGTGCAAGAGTTGTGTGGCAACTGCTCCAGCTTAATTCAAATCCTCGTGTTCACGTTCAATTGCTCATACAACAGATTTTCAGGGAGATTTGCAGCGAGGTCAATCGACCTGCTCAGCCTCGACTGGTTCATCGGCAATCCTGATATATGCATGGCAAGAAGCAACTGCCATGAGATGGATGTACACCACTCAACCCGGACTCTAACGAAGCGTGTCATTGTCAGTATAGTTTCAATAGCCGCGGCTTTTTTTCCTCACCGCATTACTACTTATAGAGTTGACAAACAAGTGCGTGGGTAACGGGCCAAGGAATGTGGCGAAACTCAATAGTAATTTAAATAAGAGACAGCCTTTTTTGCCTTGGAGTATTACTTTGTTCCATCAAGTGAACATCACTTGTAAAGAGTTAATGGAATGCTTGGACGAGGAGACCTTAATTGGGAGTGGCGGAGGTGGAGAGGTCTACAAGGCAACCTTAAGAAGTGGTCAAGAGATTGCTATAAAGAAGCTGTGGGGAGCTGGCAAGGGAATGGACCCGCACGAAAATGGATTCAAAGCTGAGGTAAATTAGTTTAGTCACAACTTGAAATTTATACTGCTCTTTTGCAACATATGCATCAAGATAGTCGGGCATCTTTTAATGAAGCGATTGAGTTCTTTCGCTTAATAAGTTTTCTAAATATGAAACCGTTTGAGAAGATGTGAGCAGGTGAATACTCTTGGCACCATCAAGCATCGCAACATTGTGAAATTGCTCTGTTGTTGCTCAAGTTTTACGACGAACCCCCCAGCCCACGAGTACATGCCAAATGGAAGCTTGGGTGAGTTTCTTCATGGCGCTTTGAAGGACAGCACATTGTTTGATTGGAGTGTTTGTTAAAAGAATGCGGTAGGAGCTGCTCTGGTAATACATTTGTATCTTTTGTGATGTAACATATTCAAGATCTCTGCTTCAGCTAAATCCATGCTCCCCATTCTTACACAAACAAAAAAAAAGAATAGTTATCTGGTTATCTTCATCAATCTGCTGACAAAATTGAAACAGGGACTTGCTTACTTGCATCACGATTGTGTACCACAAATACTCCACCGGGACATAAAATCAAACAACATTTTGCTGGAAGACGAGTATGAGGCACGCATAGCTGACTTTGGATGGGCAAAGGGCCTTGACAATGATGCTCCAATGTTGGTCATAGCAGGCTCTTACGGCTACATTGCACCAGGTAACCGACACAAGCTATATCAAATTTGCAGCAATACAACCATCCTCGCATAACTGCATTAAACGCTGCCTTTGCACCACGTAGAAGCAACAGAATTAACATCATGATGTATTCCTAACAATTTTGTCTGCAGATCACCGAACTAGGACACAAATTTAGTTCACAAATTCGTGTTACTATCACGTTGCAATCTCTACTACTCTTCTGCACACTTCTTAACCTTTCTATGTAAGGCACAGCTTCGACAATAGATATGAAAGAGTTACCAAAACATAGAACAAAAAAAATTGCAACAATATTAAGAAGAGTCTATGATAATTTAGGCCGCTAGAATGTGAAGAAAACCACAGTCTGTCGCCTCTCTACACTCTGCCCTTGGCCTCGGAGCAAGCCAGTTCGTGCCACAGTTTGCAACTGCACCTTCCTAGCTGAGGCGTCCAATCCATGCGGTGCTCAAACTGGGCAGAAAAGTGTTGCCCTGAACTATGCGCGGCACTCAGTTTGGACCCAGTTCCACCTATTCATAGCTTGTTAAGTGCAAGGGCAAGTTTGCAATTATCACAAAAGTTAGGAATAAATTTTCTATTATTAAGAATATAAGGGTATTCTTGATATTTCAACATGTTTCTTGGGTACATGTGATATTTTTCCTAGAAATAACCTCAAGCCATGAGCTGATCAAGGCTTGAAGGTAGAAACATCTTTCTAAAAACCTCTTTTATTAAGTATTTAAGTGTTAAAATTAATAATAAAATAAAAACATGGATAATAGTATTTTATAGACTTCATCTAATGGTATTTAAAGAAATTATTAAGCAATAGAATTTATACATAGCTTAAAGAACTATTATAAAGTAATAGATGATAGTAGAATATAACAAGCCAATTAAAGAACAGAACTATATGATTTGTTTATAAAATGTGAAATATGTTAAAAGTCTCAAAAGTTATATTCTACAAGGATTGGTGCATGTGGGAAAAAAAAAATTTAAATAATAGAAGTTGATACAAAACAAGGATCATTATAGACAATGAAGTATCTTAACCAAACTCCCTTCAATATAAAGAATTTTCTCAAAGATGGATTGAAGGTTTTAACAAATTTAGAATATATATATATATATATATATATATATATATATATATATTATTCTTATTCTTATGTCTCCATTTAAACAAAGTAAAATATCATTTCATGCAATATCAAAGGTCTAAATGACTTCTAAAAAAAAATTTCAAGCTTACGGATATTTAGAAGGCTTACAACCTCAATATGACATTATCATATTATAAGAGCATAAATCATGTAGCAAACTAAAAACTAAGAACTTAATAAAAAAAAATATTAAAATTAAAATTAAAATACTTTAATTGAAAGAAATTTTTTATATCTTAGAAGTTGTACCAAGTTATGTCTATTTTCTTTAATTGATATTATATAAAAATATTTGAGAACACTTCTCAAATATTTTACTATTTGATGGGCAATTTTAAGTATAAGAAAAGAATCATTTGTATACTAACTTATTATTTATTAATAATCATTATTTAGCAAAGGGATGCCTTAAATTATATTTGCCTTGATAGCATTTTAGACACTTAGATTAAGTGCTTCTCTCACAATTCGAAAGGGGCATGGAATAAAAAAAAAAAACTTTGTTTAACACATCTTTGAATTGAGAACCTTCAAGACAAGTTGTCATTGACCAAAACAACCACTTTTGTGTCTTTATAAAAAAATATTATTGTATAATATTAATAATAAGTTGAATTTTTAGTTGCTTCATATAATTAGAATTATTTTTTATAAATAATTTATAAATTTTTATAAATTAAATTAGAATTATATTTTATATGATTTATAATATCTAGCAATCTTCAAACTTAGATCTAGTTACTTTTGTAATTGGAAATATTTTTAAACAAGAATTCAAACAAAACAAAGAAGAAGCCATGTTTATATGTTTTATTTGGCATTAACAATTGGTATTTAATGCATGACATAGGATAAGTCCATGAAAGTATTCAAATCTTTCTGTCACGTGTGTATATTCTATACATCAAAAATAATTATATATAGATTTTAGATTTTTACTTAAGCTAAGAATTTATAAAATTGAGCCTTTGTTCTATTTAATAAGATGGCAAGTTCATGTTTAAGATTGTGGCTTGGATTCTTATAGCAACAAGTCATCTTTGCAAAAAAACCTCAATTTAAATTTATTTTTTTCTTAAACATATAGACATTGTTTTAGAAAAATTGTCTTTAAACATTATAAATTCAACAAAATGCATTGGGATTTGACCATAAAACATGATCAAAGAAACAAACTTGACAAGCAGCATAGTCTAGTCTTTTAGAGTATGGCAAAATTTCATAGACATTAAATAATATTAAAAAAATCGCCAAAGTAAAACAACATATTTTTGGAGAAGTAGAATAAATAGTTAGTAGAATGGTGGGAGCTAGAACTAGATTAATAATTGAGTGGCTTATTTAAGTACCAAATAATGATCTTATCATGCACACCACAAGCTAAGTTATAGATGCTTAGATGATTATGTAACACCTCTATTACTTATCATATCTTGCTTTTATGCTCTTAAGTCCACTTCTTGATGTGAGGTGTTTAGACACAAGATGTATGTTCCACATTTTTCTAATGTATAGAATGGATTCACTCCATTTGTGTCAATGATAATAATTACTTCATGATATTGCATGCTTTTGAAATTTCTTACAATGAGTGGTGGTACTCAAATCTGCTAAGCTTGCTAACATGCTTGGTACTGCAATTTTTAACTAAATAGTGACTGTAATACTTAATTTTAGTTAATATCGGTAGAGTAACCATGATTTATTCCAGACAATTATTCAGATATTGAAAACATTCTGGCTGACTGACACACATAAACAACATGCAGAACATTCTAGGTATCATGGTCTTTGTGGGCTCTATAAAGTCTCTGGGAGAATTACATCCAATGACGAAATACAAGGTACCAGGCCAAGGCTATCCAACCATTGTACACATGATATGGTTCAACAATGGATTGATTCCCACCAGTTGTGAGGACGAGATTTCTCTGTTAAAAACGGTACTCTCAAGGATGTGTAAGATCTAGATCTCCGGCGTTAATTTTATTTTCAGCTGCAAATGATCCTTGAGTACAACCTTCGTGCACTAAGGTTGTACTGAAGATACGAAGTCCCAGCATTGGTATTTCAGATTGTAATAAACCACTCCCAAATCCAATCTAATCCAGGAACCCCAATGTCATAACGCCTAGGATTAAAGCAACTTTTTCTTTTTGGTGACGAGTTGCTATCTCCTACAAGAGTGCTTCATTTGAAGGTCAGTTTGCTTCCTCTACAGCGTCTTAAACGCTAACAAATTCTAACTACTATTACAGAATATGTACACGTGCTTTAGGATATTTGAACTTCACTAAGATGTGTCAAAGCGTTTCCACACGCGTCCACCCATATGTTCGTGACAACCTTATCTGCACATTGCAAATCTAGCAATTATTAAACCGATTCACATGAACGTGAATCACTCTAATCAGGTGTTTGAGAGAATTCCTGAGGACCAATTAACTTTTTCTCTATACCTGTAATTTCTTTAATGGATCTTATGATTGCAAACTTAAGAGCAACATCATATTAGAGAAAGGAGTGTCACAAATGTACCTGGGCAAATGCGTAGATGGCACGAACGACTCTTGCGTAATCAGTTCCAATGGACCTGATTAGCATGTCAGCTAGAAAAGTACCCCACAACCTGCACGATTAAGCACATTGATTGAATCAGTCGGCGACAGTCGAATCAATCATGGAATGGACTTACTCTAATACACTTCCTAAAGATGAGCAAGTCAACAGGTTCGCAAAATAAATCTGGGAAGATGTAGGCATCCATTCAAGGATGAGAACGTACAAAGGTCCCAAGACCATCATGGTGCTCCGTAGAGTCATGTAGCGGGCTGCTGCACCTGCAAGTGTCTGCGGAACAGCTCAGCAATTGTAGAGGCAAGTTCAGGTAACTCGTAAAACTTAAAGGTGTACCAGGATAAGGCAAATTGGCACACAACACGCATTACAATCTGAAGTTTCCATACGAACATTTAGAAGGGTCACAGTAATATAATGTTTTTTGGGTGAAAAAATAAGCTACCTAGGAAAAACATTCCACTCGCATATCTCAATGGAAGTACCATAAATGACCATTGCCGTTTACCTGTCTAGCTGCCAAAACTGCTACTTGACTTTCCAATTTGGCAGCAACAGCTTGACCACCCTGTACATCGTCACGAAAGAAATGGGCTTAATGTCAAGTTTCGTTGAGACACATAACATTGTAACGACAGATGACATAATGAACATGGGCCTCTTGATCTGCCAATGCGAGAAGTCATTGTAACAAACTGCAGTAATATAAAAAAGTACCAACAATAACACACGGCACACCTTCACTAAAGCCTCCTTTGCAAGTTGATAACGAGCAGTTTCCACTAGTACTTTACCAGAAAGTTGCTTTGTAATCTGCGTTGGCACCATTGAAGTAACTATATATGAGCAAGTTTGAACGCAAGGCGGGCAGGGCCTTTCACTTCGGTAAAAAAAAAAGATAAGTAGGTGAAATTTTAGAGTATATCTGCGGCCATACTAACGCGTTGCCACTTCATGAGAAAATCTGGTTCATAAGTTGAAGTTTTCAGGCATCATATCCTGAGCAAATCCAAGAGATAACACAATCATGTGCACAAGCAATCGACAAAGGGACGATGATTTCATAAAATAATACACAAGAGAATCAGTACTTACAATTCCTTGAAGGGTGGAAACTGTAACTGCACTGCTTCCCTGAAATTAATAAGAAAAAAACAGGAAAACATAAAGCAGAGTCAGGTGACATTTGAGCAAAGCAACTACAAGTTGACCAATTTCCGAGAACGGGGTTCCAAAGTATTTTGTGTGCCCAGTGACTTCACTAGAACAAAAATGCCACGTTTGCATGAAATGGTAATCTGCATCATACTTCACACCTTGAGTAAGGTTGTAAGCAACTCTTCACTTCCTAGACGAATAGCTGATGAAATGTTATCCCGGAAACGACTCCCCTTAGCTTTTTCAACGGCATCCAAATACGGGACTCCTCTTCGCTTTGTTTGTTGCCGCTTTTTAGGTTGACTGCCATAGTCACACAGATACTGCTAAGTTGTTCCTAACAGCAGCGTCCGTAATAGATCGAGTGGATTGGCAGCAAGGTCAGAAGAAGACAAAAGAGCGGAGATTGTGAAGAGTATTTAGTAACCCTGCGGTGCTTATATTTCTTGATACTGGAAGACTAATGTATTAAAAACACTAAAATGACCTCATCTGAAGACAGCATTCTAGCAGCTTGCTGACAGACTGGAAACATGTGTTACCAATTCTCACACTCAATGACATCAATCACATTGAAAACTACTGAAGAAGCTATATATTTACAAAATCCAAGGTCTAAATATCTTTCATCCACCAACCCCTTCAGCAAATCATCCCTCCCAAAACTAGCCAGATGATTGATTCTACTGAAGAATAGGGTAAGAGTATTTCTATGTGCTATCCACAAGTTTAAATGGCGCGCCCATTTATAACTTCTTTTTAATTGCCAATCTGAGAGAATCTGCTACACACTGTTTCAAAGTAAACTACAAAACTGCTGAAACTGCGCAGCGCACGACTGCAGACACAATCGTTATAAAACGACAGCTATTTAGTACATGCAAGCAAGCACCTGGAGTAGTCCTGAAGCAAATGCAGAAAGATTTCAGCCTCCAGGTCCTCCGTAGACAGCTTCACAGAACAGGGAACATTAAGCTTTGAACGAACCCTTAAGAGAACATCCCGATAAGTTGGTCTTCGCCCACTGGCACCCACACAATCCCCTTCTATAATCATCAAGCACGTAAAGTAGATTTTTCAAGTAATGCACTGTTGAATGACTACACTCTTAGAAAGGTAAAAGCCAATGCAAGGCAACATGAGCTAGAATCAACTCCTTTCATACCTAGAACCTGATTAACTTTGCTAACAGACAAAGTTATACATGATCACATTTTAAAGATATCGCACACACTGAGAAATCCTGCTGTGCATTTAGTAGCAGCACTTGATGTGAAATGTTTGAATAACATCCATACAGCCCTCGTGTTCTATTGAGCAGAAAGTAATGTTCGCCCTATCAAGAGAAGAATCATAAAATGGAACATATATCTCCAGATAACATTCATAATGCGGAATTCAATAAGTAATATGGTGGTACCTAATAGTGGCTTTAGCATCCGCTGCCAAGAACATGAATCTGGATTCTAGCCTCTCTAGAAGAGCATCTCGACCTCCGTATTCCTGTTCATGGATTGCCTCTGCAATGGTGCCTCTATTAGAACCATCTCCAGGGGCCATTGACTTGAGAAGAGGACTCAAAGGGCTGCACAAAAGCAACTTATCAATGTCAGCAGCTAAACTTCATTACAAAGTATTTCGACTTTTAAATCACAGACCTCATACACAACAAAAGATTGGACGCGTCTAATTACAAATGAACTGATAATTGCTTTACTAAAGCCAACAATCGACCAACAAGAGAATCGAGAAGAAAGGAACTGCTAAAAAAACTACGGCCAAACGAAAATAATGAAGTTGACCTTTGGCCATATAGTATGTTGGACAGCTCGTAAAGCTCAGCATCACTAGCTAACACCAGCACGGAATGTAACTCTGGGTCAAAGGCAGCTGTTTCACACAAGAAAAAAAATAAAAAAATAAAAAAACCTTTCTAAATGTTAATGCACACATCTTAAATATGGTTAAGTGTATTCAAGGAGAATATTTTAAAATCTACTACAATCTTTGCGTTAATAAAACCACTAAAGCGTTACCTGTAGTTGTTCTTGACGCATATTTCCCTCGAATAGATGCGCCTGTTTGTTGAAATTGGGAGTGGTTACCCAGTCTCAACTGTGTTCCAAAAATAAAACCCCGTTCCAAGGGGCCATTGGCACTCCAACTACAAACCTACATCATATCAGCACCGGATAGATGAAAATTCCATCAACAGAGACCCACCGACACTCGACAAAACCTGTTTTCCTCACCATGAAAGACCGCATAATTCAGTTCACAGGTCGAAACAGTATTACAAACTCGATGAGCTCGGTATATTACAAGATTGCAACTATATACACCACACGGTAATCTCAAGCGGCCACACAGAACTACGCTAGGAATGAAATTACATTGTAGACAAAACAATTAACAAAGGAAGCATGTGATAACAGTCTACGCAGATACCCAAGACACATGAAAACAGTAGAATCAATCGTAGTATCATCAAGAGACTAACATTACATCCTCCAAAATTTAACAGCACTCATCAGTTGAAAGAAAATTGACATTGAAAATCTATTATAGACGATCCCAAACGATTCCAGAAGTGAAGTCACCGACGACTGCAAAGATCCGCGTAGCGGATTCCAAATGCAACCACAGATGAGAGACGGATCAGCTCAAATTTCATGAAAAATCTTAAAATTCAATTAGCTTCCCTCCTTGGAAAAAAACCAAGGAAGCATCTAGTACATGATCGGTTCTTAATGATTACTAACACGGATGTCGTTTTGCGGTTAGCGGCAGATATTTAGATGAGCCATGGGCAAACCAAAAAACTCAGCTCTAAGTGATTAAAAAGCCCTAAGATCACCACCAGAAAACCAGGGTCCTTTAATACTCGATGCACACTGCGATGTCAACTAAGCCTCTATATCCACAACTCATAATCTCCCTGTCAGATTCTCACCACCAAAAACAAAAAAAAAAACAAAAACAACAACAAAAATCACTAAACAAAATCAACATACTACACAAAAAGAACAGAGCCAATCCTCCAACACGGAAAAGTGTGCACACTCATCACAATCACAGCAATCAAACTCCACTCATTTTCCCCTACCACGAAAAACCTACATCATCAAACGACTGCAAAACTACAAAAAATGCTACAACACACGAACAGGGATCGCAGTGTAGAAAACGAGGTTGAGACTGACCAAGGGAATAGTAGCGGGGTGGCGATGGGAACGATGGTGCAGGGCGGGTAGGGCAGGAGGAGGGTAGCAAGCGGAGCTTATGGCTCCGCTACACAACCCCATGGCTTACAACAAAAACCTGTCTCCAAACAATTCGGCACAAACAGCAGCACCAGCACCAGCGGAAGGAAACTACCGAGCTGCAAATCTCAACAACAGCAACAGCAGCAGGCAAGACACTCTTGCGATGCCGCTCCGCTGCGCTCACACTCGCATCCTCGCAATATCACGAAGAATCCCCGACGCCGCGATGCTTGCTTCGTTTTGCTTTAGCTGTTGTTGCTGTTGTTGAGCGTGGGAGCGGAATTCCATGGTGGGGGCCAGGACGGGTGGATACCAGCCGTACGGGGTTTGCAATGCCCCGTCCCGTCGTGCCCCGGCCCGTCCTGCCCCGCTCAGGCGCAGTTAGGGCACACAACACCGTCTCCTCGTCGTCGTCGTCGTCGTCGTCGTCATCGTCGTCATCGTCGTCGCTCTCCCTTTCTCCGTTCGTTCGTTTCTTTCGTGGGCTGCCTTGGCATCGTCCTGGAAATATCCCTCCCTCGCCACATCTACCCTTTGGTTCATTTCACCATATTCCTTTTTGTTTTGGTGAAAGTTGGGAATCTTTTGGTCCATTATGGCTGTAAACCACTAAAGCATGACTGGTTGATTTTAACGGAATTTGTACAGTAGTTCTAAAAAAAGGTTCTGATTTAAATTCCAACTGTGATGTCTCGATTGTGTATACTGAATTCTTGAAAAATGTTTGAGGAGTTTAAGGAATGTCTTGATTTTGGTGTAAGTTCTATGATTTGATGTTGGAACATTGGTGAAGATTATAGATGTTGTTTTAAAGTTTCTGTTTGCACTATAGAATGTTTCAATAAGATTTTAATAGTTTCATTTTTAAATTAGAAAACGTATTGCTTAAATAACTAAAGAGTATTGATTGGGTGATAGATTTATATGTTTTTCATGTGTCGCACAAATAGAATTGATTATGAGAATTGAAAAATGGTTATAATTTGTGGTTTTTTCAATATGTTGCAAACTGTAGATAAATTACTTTTAAAAAAATTACAAGATAATTGTATAATTTCCATTATACCCTAAGTTTTTCAAAAAATATGATTATTATAGATTTAGTGTAAACTTTGATGGGTTCAAAAAACAATGAAATCAAATAAAACATACAGCATATGTTATTTTACAACACAAAGTCAACAAATATAAATTAAAAATAAAAAACATTATAAAATGATCTAATATTATTTAGACTAATTTTAAACAAGGAACTTTTTAGAATTTAATTCTGACATTAACTAAATTGCATTAACTTATCCGTTAATCTTACTAAAAACAGTTTTAAACCAAATTAAAATGCAAATTGTTAAATTTTATTTTTATATAATGAATCAAGTTACACAAAATACTAAATTGGAAAAAATGTTACATATGTATATATATATATATATATATATATATATATAAGATAAAATTGTTGAATCTAAAATGAAATACATTCATTTTTATCAAAAAAAATTAAAACTAAATAAAAAATGATTGAAATAGGAGGTTCAATAAGCAATAAAAAATAATAACAAATATTTACCACATTTAACAAAGTAGAAATTAAACTTTATGTCATAATATTTGTACGATAATTTTTAAAGTTAATTTTTTGCATCTAAAACTTGATTCCCCTAAATAATCATCTGTAATTATTCATCATCAATATATTTTTATAAAAATATACCAAAATTTAATTAAATGGTCTAATAACATATTGGTTTATTCAACTTATATACAGACCTAAATCTATTTATTTTTATTTACTTTCATATAAAACGAAATTAAAATCTAATCAAGTAAATATTTAGTAGACATATTTCAATTATGCCTGCCTGCATATATATATATATATATATATATATATATATAATTTAAGAAAATTTGGACCAAAAACATATATATTAACACTGTTATATATTTTTCAAAGTCAACTAATGATTTAATACACATAACTATTCAAATACTTGTGTCTTTGAAAGCTTTTAATATACTTATATCTATGTGTGAATATTAATAGTAAAAATATAAAAGTTATCAATTTAAACATATAAAAATATAAATATAAATATACATTTCTACACATTAATATAAACATAAATACACATTAAATATAGAGAGATTAAAAACTTTTAAACCAAAACTACAATAGAAGCGACATACTAATAATAGTTATCATGGTCTTACATATATATATATATATATATATATAGATATAAAGACATTTGAGATTTTTTTGTAAAAACCATTTAACTTGCAACACAATTTTACAAGTTGTGGGATGCTTCTATAGTAACTTTCACATATCAAAATACTTATATTGAAAATAAAAATAAAATAAATACTCTACATTTTTGCAATATATCAAAAAATATATGTAGATCTAACATATGAATGGTAACTTTCAAAATGTTTAATAAAGATGAAATAATTGCAATAATAAAAAAGAATGAATTAAATTAAATCTCTTTATTGTTGTTGTTTTGTGCAACATAAAAATGTCTATACAAGACATCTTAACAACCTTGTTTTATCACTCAAACAACATAAATTATAACAAAATTACATGCAAACATGAAATATTTTCAGATTTACATGTTCTAATTAAATCTCTATTATATCAAAATAATAATTTAAAGCATAAAATCATTTATTGTGAACCCCATATTTCATCTTAGTTTTTAATAATTTTTTTTGAATAAAAATATCATTATGAACCTTACAACTAGCAATGCAAAGTAACCACATTTAGATAGGCATTCATTTTAGAAAAAGGACAGACAACAACCCCGCCTTCCTTGGTTGCCTACTTGCAATGACAGTCGCTTGCCTCCCACTGGCAACCTCAAGTCCTACCTCTAATAAATATATAAATTTCCTCATTAAACCAATGGATGTTTGAAGAACATGCATCGTGGAAAAACAATTTCCATAAGAGAAATTGCTTGGAATGACCTGTCATGAGGTGAAAAATGAGAGAGCGAGAGAGAGAGAGAGAAGCATGCACGTGGCCCACCGCTTCCACTCGGCGGACTGCAGGACGTCGGGCTCCAATGGTTTTCCCTTGGGAACCGGCCGCCCGTTGGCGCTTTTATAAGCGGAGGGTCTATTAATAAGTTTAATCTGAAACGGTTGGAGAACATCTGGATTTTTACATTCCGTTGTGTGGCATGTATAAATGTCCTTTGTTGAAGTCTAGTGGTAATTGCTACCAGACTAGAAGCTATTGCTTCTTCGGATTCGTAAAGATTATTTCTGTGGACAGGGACGGTGGTATCAGTGACACAGGCTTGAGCAAGGTCGCACACCTCGGATGTGGGTGTCAGTTCAGCTGAATTCAACAGTGTTGGTCGATTGGGGATCACCGTGAAGCTGCCACGGCCAAGCTGCTGGTTTATTTGCGTGTTGGTTTGCATTCGCTGGGGCTTGTGTGGTGGCTTTGTATCTAAGGTCCTAACTGGTTAATTTGAGTACTGCGCAGTGGAGTTGACTGAACGTTGGGGTTCGATTACGTTGTGCGCTGTGTGTTTTGTGATCTGTGCAGACGCGAAGGTTTTAGATTGGCGAGTGCCTGCGGGAAATCGTTTGAAGGATTTCGGAAGCGTGTGATCAGGATTGAAAATTGGTGGAGTAAGTAGCTTACTTTGGAGTAAGTATCCTTTAGATTGTGATTAGGATTACAAGGATGAGCATTCTGCAAACGCTGGCACTGTTGCTTTGTCTAGCGGTGTCATTCCAACCAGGAGACGCAAGATGTCCGTTGGCAATCCTGGGCAGGCGCTCATTGAAGCAAGCAGATCTTCCGCCCCAGCCACCCTTGCAATTTGGATTCTACGACATATCTTGCCCGTCGCTTAATGCCATCATCGACGAGAGAATGCGCTTCTGGGTTCTGCAGGACATCCGGACCCCCGCGAAGATATTGAGGCTCTTTTTTCACGACTGCTTTGCGGCTGGGTGCGAGGCATCAATCCTGCTGAACTCTACTTCAACAGTCTTAGCGGAGAAGGATGCACCAATTTCCCAGACTCTGGACAAGTATGATGTGATCGAGAATATCAAATGGACAGTAGAGACGGCTTGCCCTGGGATTGTTTCCTGCGCTGATATTCTCGCACTCGCGGCTGCCAAGTCCGTTGAGCTAGTAATTGCCGCAACCACCATCCGTTTATGAACTTGCTTCACAACCATTGAGTTCCGGTTCGTTAGGTTGGATGAGCAGCATTGAACATAATTTCCCCGGTTGTCGATTTTGAATCATTCGCAGGCTGGGGGGCCGATTCTTCAAACAGAAACAGGACGACGAGATGGCGTAGTCTCGTATCTTGCTGGTGCGACTGCGAGCATGCCTCTGTCCATCCAGAAGATCGATGACTTACTTGCAATGTTCGTGCAGGCGGGCCTGGACTTAACTGATCTTGTGATCCTTTCAGGTAGGCTTTGTGCATCACCTGATTATCTTCAATTTCCCTTTCCGAGTTGCGAAACAAAAGCGTGAGCGAACCTCACACGAAAGTGGCATCGGTTCAGGTGCTCACACAATTGGGGAAGTTCATTGCACCAACTTTGCCGACCGTTTCGACCCAGCGGCGAATAGTCCTTTTCCGGACCCATCTTTCGGGGAGCAACTGCGCGCATACTGCACTCGCGGCGGCACAGGCGATATGGCAACCCTGAACCTGAGGACTTTTATAGACTTGCAGTCGCCCAACAGCTTTGACATCTCATATTTCGTGAATCTGATCGTAGGCCGCGGCGTCATGACCTCAGACCAAGCCCTGTTCAATGATCAGCGTACGCAACCCCTTGTGAGAGCATTTGCCGGCAATCGAACTCTATTCTTCGAGAGTTTCCAGGCGTCCATGCTCAAGATGGGTCGGCTTCACGTGCTCACTGGGACGAGCGGCGTAATCCGGAGGCAATGTGGGGTACGTGCATGAATGCTTCTAAATTAGCTTCAATTATCATCGACGTTGCTGAATGTTAACAGGGAGTTAAGCGGAGTGGTTTTGAACAGCTTTCGCTTCCGGAGATGAAAGTGCTTAAACTCATCACTACGGTTCACTTGTGGCAGTGTTGTCAGCTGTCAATCGTCTAGTTTGAACCCTGAAACCTGTACTCTAGAACATTTTATACAATGATTGACTTTTCTCAAGACTTGAGTCGAGAGACCAGAATTTAGGGTTGGTCACTCGTTGCAAAGTAAATGGAGATGTATCTTGTGAGCCACTTTCTAGAACAAGGGTACATAACAAATTCTTTTCCTTTGTGAAGGTCCCTGGCCTCTAGAAAATGAGCATAATTGGCGTGCTAACAAGAAATTACTTCGTGCAACATGTTCTGTGGAGATAATCCTTTTTCGTGACGTTTAGTTAATTTCTGCATGACATAGCTAATGCTACTTGCTAATTTGGAAGAGAGCTCCAACTAAACCCAGATTCTGTGTGGTTTGGCAGGTGTATCCGTAGCTCACAAGCTACCTTTGTACAGAATGTATCTATATTTAAATCTCTAGGCGGCTCCCGTCTGGATTCAACAGTAAGCTAAGAAGCTATCCAGATACTCAGAGTGCATTCCGTCTGGTGGAGTGCTGCAGTTTTGTTCCCAAGTACCCATTCAATTGGGCTGAACAGAAGTTACCCTTGTACTGAAACGCCGCAAGTGTTCATGGCAGATCGGTTATGCTTTATGTACATGTTTGAGAAGAGAGATAAAGAGTGATTATTTCCCCTGTGATCAGCACTGTCGCATCATTCAAAGCCGCGGTAGTTGGGTCGTTAGTGTTCGAGGTCATTTGGAGCAGTGCTAAGGTTTCATAGTAATAATGTAACGTTGCTCTTGAATACAGTTTGTTACATTGACGTTGATCAATTCGGAACCTGGTTCACTTGGATGGCTCATGCCAGTTACCTCAGTGAATCACAACGTGAGCTCCTGGTCCGATTATTCTTGCGAAAGCTCTGGAAGATGAAGTGCGTGATGTTCTCAGAATTTTGGTGGAAAAAGACATAATCCCATTTGCACAACTGCCTCCACCCAATCCGTGTCTAACAAGCTGGCGTTGAGATTTGAGGATGAGTCAGTTGGTTCCTAGTGTCCTCAGAAACAATGGATAAGTTTCTTTTTGTGCAAGACAGCGGCTGGCTGTCGTGTTGTGTAGCCACTATGTCTGATCTTTGCACACTCTTACACTACACCACTGACGCATTGATGTCATTCCAAAATTTCTTCGCTGACACACAATCTCGTCGAGGTGAGACTTGGAGACTTATTCACTTGACATGAAGTGAATCCTGTACGGTTGGGTGAGCAAGTTGGTCAACATAAACACCCCCTAGACTTTTACTTAGGTAGGATGAATGTTTGTGGAAAAATACATTCAAGTTAAAAGTAGCCACTACTTCTTTGGCATCTTCACTCAACTTAATGGTCCACTACTGATGACCTAAGCCTTATTCATTCTAGCTTTAGTAGCCCACAAGTGAAGAGTCCAAGATAAAATGTTGATGATAATAAAGTACAGTTGGCAAGTTAAGAAGATTTTTGTTGCAGGTGGGGTTCAAATCGAGGACCTTCCATGGGTCTGTTAACAATCAAATGCCTCTTACTGGGAATATTTGCAAACTAATTGTTTCTTTATTTTATGATTAACGTGTACTAAGAGTTTCTGAAGTCTTGGTACAATATAAATATATAACCTTAAATTTTGAATTTTAATGTTAATCTTCTTTTAAATAATACACATACATTTTTTTAATAAAAGTAATTAAATATTCAAGTCATAATGTTTTATGAATAAGAAGAAAATAAAATAGAGATTTAAATGTGTAAACTGTTACAGAATTATTAATTAATAACATTTTTCAAAAAAATAGCTTATAGTAACTAAAAATTTAGGATCTTTTAAGAAACAAGTAGTAAATAAAAGAGCAGAAAGAGTAAACATAAAAATAAATACCATCATTATTAAATTTAACTACTCAATTGGCCATATGACAATAAATAAACTGGTTTACAAGTTGAGTTGGCAAGGGTGAAATACATTTCAAACTTTACATCTTATTTATGGAATTTACCCCAAGTTTTACAAAATATTTTATAAAAGATTTTGGATTAGAACAGAAGACTTTCAAGATTCATGGATATGATCATACAAGTTCTGAAATATTTCAAAAGTTGTTAGAGGACCAAAAGAACTTTCAAAATACTAGAGAAGATTCTAAAAAAGAATTTAATATGTTATAGAAGGTTCTAGAGGATTCTAAAAGATTCTTGCAAGTCAATCTTGTTACATGCTGATTATATTAATTTTATTTAAGAACAAGTTTCACAAAGAATAAAAGTAATTCAGCACTTGTGTAAAAAAACTCAAAGACTTGTTAACTTTTCTGTAATACTCATTTTCCATAATTATTGTTCAAGTAATAATTAGGTATAATTAATTGTTAATCATTGTTGCAATTTAATTGTGCTGTGAAAAAATTATGTGTTTAACCTTGTTTGAAAGAAAATTCTCAAAACACCATTAGAAAGTAAATTCTAAGTCATAAGGGTATAATATAGAATACTATAGTATAGTTGCAAGTGACAATAGATGAGCACACATTGACACACATTTCTTATTCTAATTGATAAAATAGTTTTTTATACTTTGCTTGCAGTTGTAAGTCACACAATTTATTGTTCAAGTATTTTGTGATGAATAAGGTTTCTAATATCTAATTTTTAGTAATAAAAGTAAGATTTTTTTTACATTTAACTTGTGATCAAGCAACATATAATTATATATATATATATATATATATATATATTTTCCCCAACTTTACAAAAATGGTTTTACAAATGTTTTGCAACCTTCTACCAAATCCATGTATGAACGCATCTGTGGGACGAACTAACTTTGAAAACACATTTACTTACATAAAATCACTCACCGGAGAAGCATCCCTTGTTCACGACTTTTCAAAGTTTAGTTCGTCCCACAGATTACGTCTTTAATAAAGTAAGATTTTGCTGAATAAAGTAAGAATCTGTTGAAAGGGGAAAACCCTAATGGATGGGAATGGGAAGGGAGGCTTCGAAGCCCATGCGAGGCGAGGCTTGTGCGAGTTTATCTGGGTGGGTGGGATCAGAGAGTGTATGAAGAGACAGAGAGTGAGGAACAGAAGTAGCTGGTTGTAGCGGGGGGGAGGGATGTTGGGTGTAGAGTAGGGTTGGAGTGCAGTGCAGTGCAGTGAAGTGGAGGTGTTCTTGCAGCGCAAGGCTGTGGGTTTTGCGGGTGGGTTTGTTTGTGTTTAGGGTCACTGTGGTTTACGGTGAGTGGAGGCTTCTCTATCTGATCCTTGGTTGAGGCCGTGCCAAAGGATCCGTTCCCTGAAGCAACAAGACAATGAGGAAGACGCCTAGGAATCGTGTTCCTTCTAAGCGGCCCTCGTTATGCCGTGGTTGATGATTTTGGTTCGACTGGGGTACGATGGGCTGTTGACAGCGTGTATTATGTAAGTGTGACGGAATGTGTGAGGTTGGGAGGAGCAGATGATGAGAAACAAGAATAGCGACATCTTAGAAGTCCTTCGGGGATGTGATGACGTATTCTATGGGAATCTTTACGATGTTATTGGGTGCGGGTGGAGGAGCGGATGGTTGGATGTGAGGGTGAAGCGGCGCGGTGGGAGCCGTGTGTTTAGGGTTTAGGGTTTGGGCGTGGGGGTCCCGGTGATGACGACTTTAGATGACGAATCTGAGATTAAGGCCCAAGGGAAGGCATGTGGAGCCGGCAGTGCGATGTATTATCGTAGTGCTGGGAGAAGCTTGCCGGAGCTTGGAAGCCGCTGGCTTGCCAGTTTCTCTGAAGCACATACGAGGCATTTGTCTGAGGGAATTGATGCAGTGATTAGGAGATCCGGCATGTTAACCTGAGGAGGTAACTCATACGCTGGTTATGATGGTGTATGGGAACAGTCACATGAGCGATTCTTTACCACAAACTGCCAAGGATGTTACCTAGTTTTCACTATATAGACTCAAAGCACAGTCATAACGAAATCCTCAACCTCAATGCGACGGGCTCACCCCGTTCGTTTCTAAAATGAAATTGAATGATTATTTTCCTGATTATCAAAATCGATATTTCGTCCGTCGGGATTTGTAAAAAGAACAGCGACCATTGGTTTTTCCCCTATCGAAGTCTGTATTTTAAAATATTATCCTGTCGCAGTGAGTTACGTCCTGAATGCCGGTAAGGTTTCAAATGAAAAGCTTGATAGAAATTGAAATTTATGTTGCAGTGAGAAATAATTTCTATTTCTTGGAAATGTAAGCGAATGCGATGACGCTCAAATCTTTTCAAGCACAATTCGGAAGCAGTCACAAATTATAGCTTTTAAGGATAAAACTTCGGTCAATACCGCATCGAATTTGCCTAGTCGTTGAAGAACTTACTAGTATATCGAATGGAACATCCGTCTGTCATGCAACATTGGTGACTGATGTACGCGTGACATTGCATCTACATCAGAGCTTTAACAATCCCAGGCATCTGCAATTCAAAGACTTCATCATTCTGTTTCACTTTCGATAGGAACATGCACAACTCTGACGCAATTAATCGTCACGTATTCAAAGTATATTTCGTCCCACAGATTACGGAAACACGTATATCTCTATGTCTCTACATATTTATTCATATTGTTTATTTGAATTTCCACCTCATTTGTCTTGATACACATACATCTTGGTAGAAATGTTAAGTTAAAAGCATCTGTGATTGCTTGAACGTACATGATGTTCAATCATCATTATCGATTATTAAAGTATATATTTTTCAGATGGTAACAATAAAATTTATGTGTGATAATTTGATTGATAAAACTATAATTGTACATAAACTAGTTACCAAATAATTCTCTAAATCATAATTCTTGCTACACCGTGAATTATACATTCCATGGCTGACTCCATCAAGTCACTCATTTACAAAATACACAAATTTTATGCAAAAAAACTATCAAGATTTCATCCAACTTCTGTACGATGTACTCAAATGGTGTTCAATGTCTCCTTGGTATTAAAAAAATGCACTTTTTCATCAAAATTTGAATACTAGCTTGATGAGCAATTGGGTCAAACAAATTAGTACATTTTACTAACACCGAAGTCAATCCATGTAGTAATTTTATTAAAGAAGCAACATGTTCTGAAACTAATGATATTGCAGGGTGTGAAGCGCCGAAGTGGATATAATCCCTTCATAAAACTACCAATCACACTACCGACAGATGTACCGCTTGGCCCTCCAATAGGCTTGCTCCGGGGTCTCATTTTTCTAAAGTAACCTTCGCACTTTTAACCTTTTCAAAACCTCCCGGACCATTCTTGCAGGTTTTAGGAACAGAGTTCTAGGAGAAGTCAATTCAGCTGCTGAAGAGGAAGAGCATCTCCATGTTTGTGAAAAAACCCAGGTTCCTACCTAAATTCCAGCATGATTGGTGCTTTCTCTTGCCAAGTTTTGCTTTACTTGCAGGTGATCACAGATTCGGTTCTTGGTTGCGTGTGAGCTGATGAGCATGGGGCCCTCTCACATGCCTCTGTTTCGTTTCCGCATGTGGGCGTGAGACAGTGGGTTGCGTCCTGGTTTAGTATCTTTTGTGTTTTCGCGGAATTCTCAGCACAGATCGCCTGAACTTTGATTATTCATTGTGAATTAGGGCATCTTTTTTGGCTGTCGAATTTTGTGTGACGTCCCCTGGAAACCAGAAGATACTTCCAAGTGTTCTGCATACTCTTAAAAGGATCAACAGTTAAAAATATTCTAAATACCTTTCTGATGTACACCTAAAGGGGTTACACTGTTGGACCTTCATGATCTAAAATGCATGAGTACAGCTGAAAATCGGCACTGAGTTTCCCAACTTTTTCTGTAGACATCAGTTTAGACATCATAATTTCTTGTTTCCTTCTCAGATAGACTTCATCTTGATCTGTTCATTAGATTTGTATACTGCATCATAGTGTCAAGTTTTATGGTGGTTACCTACTCACATGCCCCTCATACCGCCATTTTTTTTCACTAACTCATGCCGCCATGTTCACCTGTGCCGGCGAAGGAATGGCAAGGGATTGGAATTTGCAAGAGACCAAAGGTTTGGTTAAGGAATTCATATCCTTGAAAGCGGAGAAACCTGAGATGCTCACAGCCAGTGAGCGTTGGAACAGAGTAGCTGAGACGTTGAGAGAGAAGGGCTTCAACCGAAGCCACAGGAGCTGTAAAAAGAGATGGTACAGACTGGAACAGTTCGAGGTTCAGATCTTTTCATTCAACATGGAGGATGGTAAGAATAAAAACTACTGGGACTTGACTCGAGCGGAGAGGTTGAAGTTCTGTGATAAGTGGCCGCAGCTGCCATCCGGCGATGCCATTGATATGGAGCTATTTGATTGTCTGAAAAGATTTTCTCACGTGTATGAGAAAGATGCGTCTAAAACAGCATCAAATGCATCTACTACGGTCGCAAATGTTGAGGACAAGGAGGTGATACATTCAGAGCCAAAGTTGGAGACCAGAAGGTGGTTAGTGTTCCATTTAATTTCATTTCAAGAAATTTCATTGAGACATGTCCCACAAATGTTCATCGTACGCTTGAAGTCTTAGTATGACCTAAAGTTTTGAACTTAGAATAATTGGACTGTATTGTGCAATTTGGGCAGAAAATCAGCTTCACCACAACCTTTAATTTCTACGCCACTTCCAACTCCAGCACCATTGTCCCACCTCATGTTTGCTACTGTCGAACGGAACAGGCAAGAAGAGCCCACGGACTCTGAGAAGCAATCTACAACTACGTGGCCTGGTCAAAGTGTAAGTCAAGCTCTATCCTCTCCGGAGGTTTTAGATGGTTTAAAGCTTCAAGACCTGGAGCTCAGAGGCAGACGAGCAGTAGAGGTGTGGAAAAACAAAACGATACTACCCTGCACCAACAAAGCCAGCACATTTGTGGAGATTAATCAGCCATCACAACAAAAAGCACAAACTCCGAAAAGACCCCTGATTCCTGAAAGGCCCCTCTTCGGGTCAATTAAAATTAGTCCACCTCTTGACGTAACAAACACCACCGTGCTAGGTGATAATTCAACTAGGTTTGTGAGAAAAAAACGTGACCTCCACTAAGTCACCCATTCAGTTCAAGAGGGTGAATCCACCCCAAAACTCTTTCAAAGTGGACGGCGGGCTAGTTTCACAGAATCAAAGCAACAGCACCGCTTATGTGGGGCGACAAACTACTGGTAATAACCTGCACATTCAGTCACAAAACACAAATGTTGGTCGCCAGCAAGGTGGACAACTGCCTCTGCTTCATTCTATCACCTCCAATATGCCTTTTCTTCAACCGAAAGAAAAACACAAGATAGAGACAAAAGGTGCCAGCTCCTACTCTAACTACCAAACTTCTGCCGAGGATTACAATCTCCCAGTGGAAACGCTTCAGCCAGGGAGCTTCAAGAATCATCCGGCAGTAATTCTTTGTGCGCAGCCCGTCACCTTTAAGACTGGACACAACTATGAACAGCAACTCCATGGGAATATGGATCAGAGACCCCAGATTCGGCGATGTGTGCGTGGGAGACAAGGTCGCGAGGAGGATGATCCAGAGTTAGCTTCGAGTTTGTTGAACGCTTCAATTGAAGGACTTGAAGTACAATTGGGAGCCATTGTGAAACTGATTCAGGCCGAACATGAGGCGGAGCTAGAGTTCAAGGAGAAGATGATCCTGTTTTCGGAGTTCATGGTTGTGTCTCTGCACACCATGGCTCAAGCCAGTGCTCGCAGCACCAGCAGTTGAGAAAACTGTGACACAATTTGAAATGGCAGCAGGTTACACTATGTCACTAGTCGTTGCCATAGAATTTACCTGTTAAAATTCCATAGTAATGTACGGTTCATTTTGTTCATCGCTGTCGCGAGCTTCATTGGTTATGTTAAATATATCGTCTCAGCCATAGTAAAGTAAAACCGTAATTATTGAATGTAAAAGAATAACTAACTTCCTGCTCATCATCCACTCCGGCTGTCTTGGAGTTCTCTTGTACATATTGGAGTCTTTTCTAAACTCTCGCTCTCTTGCATACAATATGTGACATCAATCATACCTTGTTGGTCTGTGACTTTTTATCTATGAATATATTCTTTACATGGTATAATAGTAAGTCATCCTTCTTAGGTATATGATTATATTATAATATCTTAGTTTTCTTAGGTAAATCTGCATATCAAGATAATCAAATTATACATATTAGGTAAATCTGCATATCAAGATAACCTTCAAATTATACATATATAGAACATTTAATTATGGACATATTAAATTATATCAAGGATTTAGAAGATCCTTCAAAAGTTTGGAGGACGCTCCACTTGTTATATTACACCAATACTATTGTTGATACAATAGTTATCTTAAATAAATGGGACAACCTTCAAATGACAATGGATATAAATATGACAATCTTTATGACCAATATATATGAAATTCAAAGAGAATATACTTACATTGGATAGTCTTAAACTAATGCTATATTTATTTATTAGATTTTAAATTGGTTATCTCTTTAGTTTCAAGTACTAGTTTGATATATTCAAGGAAAAATAACTATTTTAACATATATATAGAATGTAGTGCTTGACTACATATATAAGAGAACTACAACTCTCTCAATATACAAAACTAGAAGAAGCACTTATCATATATATTTGCAATGTGGTCCAAAGATTTTTATGACCACAAGGTAGTTCTAATATACCTTGATTAAACAATTTCCAGTCAAGTGTATATCTTTTTTAGCCTCTATCCAAAAAAATAATTTGTTGCATGTGCAACAAGCCTAGTCATATATTATATTGATATATGGTACTTGCTCTGGTAAATATGGAACCTCTAAACTTCATCCAATAATATCATCAAAGATACCAATAAGGCTCTACCTCAACAAACTTGGATGGAGCTAAATTTTTTGATAGAGCTAGATTATAAATTCTTAAAGAAATAAGCTATGCAATCAACTTGTTAGAAGATCAATTTAGTAAGTACTATCTACCAAAACTTCCATCAAAAGAGGTCCTAGAAGCAACATTTAATATTCTTAGTTTAGAATTAAGAAATGAGTAGATACTTGACTTGAGAACCTCAACTTACTTCTTTGGAAATAAAAATTCTTTTTTACATTTAGATTCTTTTCAAAATTAATCTATAACCTTTACAAGACAACAATCTCTTGTAATTGAGGGATATGGCATATCATTTTTAACTAAGTCAAAATATTTTATTTTACTTATTCATGATTTTAATAAAAGATCTTAATTCTACTTTCTTTAAATAAAAGAACAAATACTAGAAATTCAAAATTTTTCAAAACATTATACAAAACCAATACTTTTAATAATCCAATGGCTTTGATCTAACAAAAAATAAAAATTTCTCAATACATTATTTACTAAATACTTACAAGCTTATGGTATTACTTAAGAATCCTCTATACTACTAATATTTCATCAAAATTAAATATTAGAATGTAAAAATTAAAAGATTCTTAATATGACTAGATTCATATTAATCGGTAGAAGGATTTCTAATATATGTCTTTGATAATACCTTGACTTGCTTATAGAATACTTTATAGGCTTATTTGTCCCTCTTTTAAAACCTTCCACTTTTGAAGAAGCTATTATAAATAGTAAATGGTGTAATGCAATGAAAGACAAGAAGAATTCTATTGCCTAAAATAAAATCTAGTCTTCTAAACTTCTATTACAAGATAAAGTAAAAATCTCTATTAAATAGGTTTTTAAAATAAAATTATAAATTGGCAACACCATCTAAAAGATTAAAACTTATTTAATTTCTGGAACTTCTGAGTAATGGGAGGGATTAAACTATATTAATAAGTTTGCACTTATTGTAAAATGAAAAACAATCCAACTACTACTTACTCTAGCTGCAAAGGCAAGTAAAAATTATATCATATAGATGTACATATTTCATTTTTAATTTAAGGATTTAAAATAAAATATATTTATTACTCAATTTAAAGGATTTAAAGTGATAGGAAAATAGCATTTACTATGCAAGCTTCAAAAAATACTTTATGACTTTAAACATGCTTCAAATACATAGTACACAAAATTGACTTCTTTCTTTGAAAATAAGGTTTTATTGAAGGAAAAGGAAACTACAATGTATACATAGTAAAACTTGAAGAAAAGATTCTTTTACTTGAGCTCTACATAGATGATATATTATTTATAATGTTTTTTTGATAATTGGATAAAATGGTTTAAGATAAAATTAGAAGCATAATTTTAAAAGTCAAAATTTGAATGAAGAGATATGATCTTATTTCTAAAGATGGAGTGCATAAGAATATAAAAAATAATATTTTTTATAAAAAAAAGTTGTGTCCTTCAAATCTTCAAATTATTTGAATTTTTTAATTTCCAAGTATCTTCAAATTCAATGGTGTCAAAATTGATACTAACTTCTAATATAAATACAAAGTTTATTTATCTAATTATTTATAGATCCATGGTGAAAAAATTAATCTAACTTACTCATACACAATTTGACATCTTATATTTAATAGGAATAGTTAGCAAATACATGTTTAAATATCAAGTTTCTTACCTTACTATTGATAAACATATATTGTGTTATATGATAAGAATATAATTTTTTTGTATTTTCTATTAAGAAGATTCTAATTTATATATTTTAGAATGTATAGACATAAATTGGACACATGATAACAAAAGAGCTTCATCAATTATAGATTTTTTTTTTGACTTGAAAACATATCCATCACTTGATTATTAAAAAAAAAAAAAAAAAAAAAAAAATCTATAATGGTATTATTTTGCTAAGTATTAAAAATAATAATTCAAAGAATATAAATAAATAAATGAGATTTTTTTTTAAAGAAAGATGATAAAAAAATAAAAATAAATAAATAAATAAATAAATAAATATATATATATATATAATAAAAAAAAAGTGAAATGACTATTTCAAAAAGAAATGAAAATTAGAGACTCTTGAAACTAGGCTAGAAGCAAGAAAAGGATTGATAAATGTAAAGATGGCTTCATTCTTGCTTCCATATAAATTATCTAATTATGAGATATTGTAATAGATATATATATTTATTCTAATAATTACCTAGATAATATGACTAAATAAAATTAGATTAAAATAGATAACTTTAATAATATCTTATAGATAAGCTTCTTAGAAGTCTCATAGATGCGACTCTGTTTTTATCTATATATATATATATATATGTGATTGATAGGTTGAAAACTTGACTACATGTTATATGTTGCACACGTTGATGACTTGTAGTACAAGTTAGATACATGTCATGCATGTATAAAATTTTTCTTGTAAATTAGACATGTGTCATGCAAATTCGACATGTGTTGGAGATTCTATAGAGCATCACTATGTAGCTTCTTGTTAGATAGTACATATAGAAGCAAGAGTGAGGCCTTCTTTACTTTTGTCAATTCATTTTTTGCTTCTATTCTAGTTTTAAGAATCTCTAATTTTCTTGTCTTTTGATAATATTAACTTAATTATATATATATATATATATATATATATATATATATATATTATTAATCATCTTTCTTTGAAAAATGTCTCACTTATTTATTTGCATTCATTGAGTTCTTGTCCTTAACCGTTACATGGTGATGTTTAATGGGACCTCTAATATATATTCAACTTATAAAACATGTATCTAATTTGCACAACAAGCTTTCTATATGTATTCCATATGGCCAATTTATACCACAAGTAGTTAACATGTGCAATACATGGCCAACTTGTTAATCAAGTTTTCAATCTATCAATCACCTATAGATACACATAAAGACAAAGCTATATCAATGAAGCTTCTAAGAAGCCAGTCCACAAGTTATCATCAAATTTATCTATTTTTATTTACTTCTACCTATTTATATCAACTAGATAATTTATTAAGATAAAATATATATGTCAATAATATTAAGAAGCAAAATACATGGAAATATCAACAACTTCAATAGAAGTCTTGTAGCTTAAAAAGTTTATACAAGACCAATAATTTAACTTAGTTGAATCAATACAAATCATGTATAATAATGAAGCAAATATCAAAATCGCCATT